TCTGGTCTCCCTGTCCCTCTCTCTCTCTCTCTCTCATCACCCGAACTGGTCAAGGCAGATGACCACCCACCTAGGAGCCGAAGGTCTGTCAGGTTTCTGCCTGTTAAAAGGCAGTTTTCCTTGCCCCCGTCACCAGTGCTTGCTCATGGTGGTACTGTTTGGTCTCTGAAATGGTTATAAGGAGTTTCGGTCTAAACCGCTCTATTTTTTTTTTTAAAGTTTTTGGGGGCTTTTATGCCTTTATTATAGTGACAACTGAAGATCAGACAGGAAAGGGGGCAGAGAGAGGGATGACACGCAGCAAGGCCGCAGGTCAGATTCAAACCCTGGGCCCACAGCAGGCAAGGACTAAGCCTCGGTACATGGGTCTCCAGCTCTACCCACTGACTAACCGGCACCCAGACCTGCTCTATTGAAAAGTGTTCCTGAATAACTTCTGTTCATGAATTGGCACTATACAAATAAAATGAATTGGAATTGACATTGATATGTGTAGTACTTTCACATTACAGTACATTTATCAAAAAACATGGCAGCTTCAATTCAGAATTGCATTTGACATATTGCGATTTCAGTAATGTTAGACTTAAATGTGCACTCCTAAAATATATGTTTAATAATGTACAAGGTTATACAGTTACAAGCTTCCTTTACCTCCTTAAACTTCCTCCTTGCTGTACCTTATGTTGTGTTCAATTATTTACCTCATAAAAACACTGTATCAACATGTCCACAGACAGAAGTTGTTGCTAAAAAAGTGGCTAATAAACAGTGTTTTACTACAGCTTTCAGGCTAATGCATGAGGTCAGGGTTTTCCAACTTTTTATAGTTGGAAATCCAACTCGGGGCATCCCAGTTGAATTTTCCAAATTGGAACCGACTTCCAATTTCAGATGAAACACACAGGTAGATATGCTATATGCTAGGCTCATTAGTTAGCAAGCTAATTTGAGTAAACATGCGTGACTAAACTAGCTAGATAAATTTACATCAATTTTGTACTAGCTTAGTTACATGCTATTTTCTTTTTCGATTGTTAGCTTTTATTTTGTTACTGGCTCACCTTGAGATGTAATTAAATAAACCTATTGCGGTTTGGTTGGTTCTTTTTCATTCATAACTTAGCCTTAGTACATAGCATATCTGAGTACAGAAAGGAGGAGTTGACCGAGGTTCTTAACCAAGACTTGGCTCAACGGTTATTGGAGCACAGAAGAAAGTTGCGGGACTTAGAAGGGTCAATTTCCATAATAGGAATAAATACAAAGAAACATGTTAGTATTAACAATTAGGTCCGTCACTTAATCACCCAACTTACTTCTCTGAGGGTTCAGAATTCCATCCCTGTGTTGCTGTTTGTCAGAATGGTAAATCTCCTCTAAACAAAGAAGAGAAGTCACTCTATTGAATCATGCCGGACTTTGTATATGTTAGGACAATTTCTTCTTCAACAGAACATAGAAACAGAAACACAACAGCAGCTCATTTCTAGCAGCAGAGAAAAGTTGCACTGTACAGATAAGGTTGTAACAAATACTTGTTATAACGCTGTGTCACTGAGGCTGCTCTTCATTCAGTAATCAAATTCCCAGTGTCCCAAGTGTGTTCCGCTATCTTCTCTTTATCAGGTGGTGTCTGAAATCACTTCCTCCTCTCTAAATTAAATCTAAAAATGTGTTTTGTTGAGTTCAGCAGATTATATTTGTTCTCCACACCATGGAAAATCTTCTGAGAATGTTCAGCTATGTCTGTATTTTAAGGTACGTGAAGTGTCTGATTCCTCGAAAAGTGCTCTATAAATAAAATATTATTATTATTATTATTATTATTATTATTATTATAAATGAGTGTTGAGGTCAAATATAGATTTACTCAGAAAATAGTTAGGTCTATCCAGAACAGTTAAGAGACAGAAGCCATGTAAATCTTAACAACATATCTTAAATTAGTTTTTATAGTTCTGTAGGTCTTACTTATTTTCTGTACTGTTATGCCGTTATTTTAATTGTTTTCATATTCATTAGAACCAGCAGCGCAGTTGAGACGTTCATACTTAGCTTATTATTAGAGTAATGTGCTCTGATTGCAGGAATGAAAATATGTGTAGATTTTGTGTTAGAAAAGATGACACTGTACCGTATATGTGTCTATACTAGCCGTATGACTGCTCCATGTGTGTAATGACAGTGTTGGCAGTGTGTGTTTATGTGTAGGTGTATAAAAGTCATCGTTCATTGTATCATTGAAACATTGTATACCGTATACATGTCTACTAGCCTATCTGAAAAATATATTTGTTTGGTTTAATCCTCTCAATGTGGGGTCCCCAGACCTTCTTGTTTTTAAGGGGTGTATGAAAAGTTCAAAATATAAACAGTAGGTCTACCACATGAAAAATTCAGCATCAATAGTTATAACGCAGCAACATTTTTTTGGGATATATTTTACTGGTTTAATCATTTTGAATGCAGAAATACTTCCTTCCTTCCTTCCTTCCTTCCTTGTATTTGTACACTGTTGCAGCCTTCTGCACAACATAAAATCACTCTTAATATTGTATCGAACATAATATTTGACTACAAAAACATAAACACATACATAAAACTGTTCAGAGAGAACAGAAAAATAAATTCAAGGCAAATCATTTCTAAAAAAAAAATATTGTATTATATTTATCAGTATGAGTATTTTTTTTTATCAGTTCCAGTGAATTCAAAGAAAAGCGAATGATCCTATCTTTTCCTGGAACACTTTCTGACAATCCCCTTCTAATGCACTTGGCCTGGAGTTGTTAAAGTTTCACAAATGAACTGGAATATAAGTGTTTTTCCCATCCTGAATGTAAAACACCTGATCACTCACCCTCCTCTGCTTTAAACTGTACGTCACAGCCGGCCTTCCACATCCACATACACAATAGGATTAAAGTAGGCCAGACGCAGCACAGTGTAGAGTTACACACAGCCATGTCTTCAGCTTGTTAGAAGTCTGATTAATCCACTGCTGCCAGTTGTCATATCCAGCCTGTCAGCCAGTTCCTTAGAGGGTCACTGTGTTACGTCTACTAATGATTTGGCTCAGAGGAATGCTGTAATAACAGCACTGAAATGAGCCTTCCTCCTCTGCAAATATACGCCCAGCTCTTTGGACCAACTCAGTTCCTGTATTTATGTGCCTATGTGGTGGTATGTGGTGCCGACTTAGATACTTCAGAACAAAACACAGTATATACAAAACACCAAACAACAAAAATACAACTATAATAAGTGATAGGGCTCCAACTAACAATTATTTTTTACTATTCATTAATCTGTCGATCATTTTCTCGATTAATTGTTTAGTTGTCTGGTCCCTATGAAGTCAGAAAATCGGGCCTCAAATGTCTTGTTTTGGCCACAACCCATAGATATTCAAAACTCAAAACCATTAATTGATCATCAAAATAGTTAAAATAATAGTTAAAAAATAACTGGTTATGAAACAGTCTGAATTTAAGCTGCAGTAGGTAACTTTTACAAAAATAACTTTTTGTCATATTCACTGAAACATTCACTATATCCTGACAGTAGTACATGAGACAGATCATGTGTGAAAAAATCTGGTTCCTCTGTCTCCTCCTAGTGCTCCTAATGGTATTTGCAAGAATCTGCCACACCTGAATGAAAACAACCAATCAGAGTCGAGAAAGATAGTTGATTGTTAAGTCTCATTCCCTGGGCCATGAGACTATAAGTGGTATTAAAGAGTGGTGGACTTTGAGGGGCAGGAGCATAAAAATAACGGTATCATACGCAGAAAGTGGTGTATTTATGGTGAAACAGCATAGGGTTAGAACCATAAAGGGTATTTTTTACTAATTTAATCCACCAGAAGGGCACCCTAGAGGACACTTTATCTACCATAAGGGGGAACAAGGAAGGCGCTTTCGCAGACATCATGGAGAACAATCGACCCCCCTGCTCACCACCAGAGGTATAAAAGCCTTGACATGACAACTAACTATATAAGGGACTATACATACATCCTGTATATAAAGCTTTATTTTAAATTGATTATTTTGTGGAATTCTCTGTCAGTCAAAGGTAATGAAAATACTTGGGTGGTGCTTGAGCTAATGAGCTACGATAGCAGTGTCTGAAATGGGCTGGTAGTCACTGGTACTTCAGATTTTTGTCCACATGAGTACCCTCACTTCTTACTGAGTACTTCCAACTCTGTTGATCATGGCTGTATCCACCGCTGAAGTCCCCTCAGTACTTTTTCCAAGGGGTATACAATAAAAGTCATTTAATAATTGAGTAAAAATACTTTGACTTTGATGAACCACTAGCAAGTTCAGTTTTTGTACCCCAGTATTTACAAACATGTACAGCAATGCTGGTGAGGTATTCCTAAACAACTGCATACATAAATAAAGTATAGCACTGAAAATATCCTTGCTAGAAAGGATTAAAAAACTCCAAAAGAATTAGGGTTAGATACATAAATGACAACTCCTGAATCAGCATATTTCCTCAATGTTAAAGGGCGATAGGTCAGTCGCTCAGTCTTTTCAGTCCTTTCAGTCCAGTATTGGGCAACACTTTCTTACTTCCTCTTCCTTTCTCTAGAAATGTTGTCAATTGGAAAATTTCAGCTTTTGGCATTTCTTTTGAAAAAGAATGAACCACCCATACTGGCACATTGTAAAATCAAAGTACACAATATTAAATTACTGAAATATGAACGGATTGATGTTTGGTGCCATTATGAAGCAAAACTTGCTGGGCTTTGCAGAAGATAAGTTTGTGTGAAAGAAGTTCTTCTTTTTATATTTCCAGCTGCGGTTTCTCTATGTCATCAGTAAACTTAGGAGCAGCCAGAGGAAACAGTTTTTTTCACAGATTATCTGTCTTATGTGCTACTGTCACTTTTGTTTTATCAAGTTACAAATTTCTTTCAGTAAGACCTCTGCACCCTATAATATATAAAAAATATGTCAGGACACATTTAGTGGATTTTTTTTTAGCATAACAGCCTAAACTGAGTGGTAGAGATAGCTCAATCAGGTTCAAAATGTGTTGCAAAAACTCTTATCTCCGTGATGAGCTGAACTTGACTCACTGTCAGGGGGTAAAACCACAGCCTGGACTGTGACGCAGCAGTGGAAACTTAAAGCTGACTCATTATCCCTAAAATAGAAAGAACGAAATTCATATTTTTAAGGATAAAGGAACACAAAGAATTAATCATTATTTGCAAGTGATCATTTCATCAAAATCAACATAGTGAAAAGAGCGTCTCATACTTGTTGGGGTGGTGGATATTGACATGATTCCACTATAATAAAAAGCTGCTTTTTGTTTTTTGTTCCAGTACGAAACCAAACAATAGTGGACTTTCCTTGGGCGTGTCATCTTCTACATGTCATTGTGCATTGTGCAATGCCCTCTGTTGATGACGCATCCTTGATAACAATGTTTTCAATTAAGCCTTAGATGCATAAGTGGGTCTAAAATGACCCGGTGAGGTTGTTTTCTTGCAATATCTTTGTAA